ATCCTACACCCTCTTCAGCGAGCGGCATAGGAAAGACAGGGCTCCTAGGTAGAGGGCTCCGCCTGTGCTTATAGAACTAGGGTAACAATACGTAACCAACCATTCTATCTCACACAGGCTCCGCCCTCTACTGGACTCTATGGGTACAGTGGGTGGAGCCCCGATGGATAAATGCCCTGTCGACCAACAACATCGACCCATCACACTGCCCCTGACCGGCCTTTGGTTACCAGCCACCGCACCGCAACTTCTTCTCCTCCGGTTGAGACCGTGGAGAAGTCGGGGCCTCAGCTTACTTGGCTGGGTAGAGTCCAATTGGTCTGAATAAGCCCATAACCCCAGGTGCCAGCGCAAGTGACTATACACTGCGCACTACGTTTCCCGGGTCCCCAAGGAGCACGGGAAGAATGCCAGTGCACTATGTCCCCCACACTCACACACGCTTACCTCGTGTAGAGTGTGCATGGACGATAGTGGGGAAGTCCTCCAGCCCTGTATGGGGCTTACTGCGCACCATGTTTCCCGGGTCCCTAAGGAGCACATGCACGCGCCCACCTGCTGCTTCCTTTGAGCAAGAAGCAGCATAGGCCAAGCTGCGACTTCTCCTCATCCATGTGACCGAGGAAATCACGGCAAGCAGCGTCGGCCACACCGTGGACCAGGATATTAATTTGGCCGATGCTGTGGCCAAATAATCGCTCTGATCCGGTGAGGTGGGGGCATATTGCGGAAGAGCAATCAGTGAGACGCCCAACACACCTGTGTTTATTTGCAGCCGCCCTGTCACACGGCAGAGGTTCTCTGCCCAGCCTGCTGCCTGTGGGAGTAGATGGGCTGCCACGCTCCGCCGCCATGGTCATCACCAGGGGGAAGTCCTGGCGGACAGACCTGGGCGGTGACTTCCATGGACGCCGGACAAGTGCCCGACAACGAGAAGTCCTTGTCATCCTTCTCCCCGGCAAACGGAGCCATCCGCCCCGTTGGAATGGCGAACGTGAATGGCACCGCCTCGGCCATAGCCTGGTCCCCCAAACACTCGAAGCAGAGGTGGTGGGGATCGGCGCCCGTTATTAAGCCAGGGCACGAAGGACAGGCCCGGGTCTCTAGAAGTGGCGACTCCATGAAGGTATGATAACTCTTTCTTCTTCTTTCAAACGTTTTACTTTTCTCTGTCAGGTGTTGTCCTGCTCGCTAAAGAGAAACGGATGACAGTCAGGAGGCGTAGCCGCCTTATATACTGTGGGCCTGCGCGCACATTCAGGTAGGCTTGCCCTGATTGGCCTGCTACGTTTATACAAACTCAGTGTGTGAACGCTCGCGTATCATTGATGAGAGTAGTACCCATAGAGTCCAGTAGAGGGCGGAGCCTGTGTGAGATATAACAATGGTGGATGAGTTTAGGAATGGATATGAAAACATTACAAGAAATGTAGATGACATATTCATCTTAATGTATTCTTCCCACCGTACACAGATGCATGGTTATCCATCTTTAGATAAAAAGGGATCATACCAATTACTCAGATAATTAAAACGTTAGGATATTGTTGCTTTTCTTCTTTGTTGTGTCTTATTCTGGGTTTTCCAAACCGGGTCAAATGCTTAATTCAGCTGTTACCTTATGAACACAACGGCCCTTTAACACTGTGTTCTTTAAACAGCTACAGATCAGCCTCACAGATTCAATGAAATGATACAGATATTCAGAGGTAGAAACAAGGATTTCTCCAAAGACTATAATATTTATTATTAATTGGAACATTTAAAGCATCAATACAATATTTCAAATCAGCAATGAAGCTAGTAAAACAAGACTTAAATATATTTAATATTAACATGAGTACAAAGGTTGTAAAGACAATGATTAAATGAGCATAGACCGTTTGAAACTAGCAGTACACATGCAGGGAACAGCTGCTCACATCAAGGGTGCAGAGACACAAAAACAAGCAGTGTCTTATGAGCTTAATCAGACAAATACCCTAAACTATAATACTCAAAGGGAAACAAACATTATAACAATGCCGCCACAAATGTATTAACTTAATAAAATCTACGATTGGTGTGTACCTTTTGTCTCTATCTCACACACACATTGCACAGGGCATGGGCCAGAGTCATGGAAGACCGCCAAAGACTGGACGTGAAGTCACGCAGAAAACATTTACAACACCATGCAAACACCTAAAGAGCAGCAACCTTAATGAAATATGAGGAACCTACCGGAAGAACTACAGCAGGTTAGGGGAAGAACAGGTAATGCCTGTTAGTATATTGAAGACTAAAAACTAGGAAAATGCAAATGAATGCAGGTGAGAATGCACCGAGGATGTGACCTAATCTACATAAGGGGTTACGGCTCGCTAATTAAATCTTAATCTCGCAAGATAATGTTGCTGAAAATTGTGTCTGAAACTGTACCAAATATAGCCTTTATCTGAAGTCTGCTGTCCCTCCATCACAACAGATGGGATTAGAACCCACAACCACTGATATATCCACATGAGCAGCCAGCAGATCAGTGATTCTAATGATGCATGGTCAAGCCCCAGTGGCCCAATGGATAAGGCACTGCCCTCCTAAGGCAGGGATTGTGGGTTCGAGTCCCATCTGGGGTGATTCATTGATAGCAGAAAGAAGCTCCACTGCTTTATGAACATAGTATTATCATCCATCTAGTAACTCAGAATGATGAACTGCTTTCAATCTGAGTTAATGATCGTAAAACCCAACTAGAGGTTATTCTTTTTCACATAATAAAACTTGTCTTGTCTAGTGCCCCTATAATACCTGACGGTGCTTACAATGAAAAAGAACATCTTATTGCTATATTTCAAACACATTGAGATGAGGGTGCAGTGCTCCTTAAAAAGTCTAACCTAACAATGTTCCAGTAAATGCAGTGAAACGTTACAGATAAAAACAGCAATTTATTTTCTTATGAAACATTTCCCCAAAGATGCTTTCCCCCCCAGTGAGCATTCTCATGGGAAAACTAACACCTCACTTTTTTCCTCCCCCTCTTCCTTCTCCAATAAAGAAGAGAGAGCTGAGGGGCCATAACGGTCGCAAGGCAGCTCTGTTTGATCCCCATGCCGTGCTATCTTCACTTTTCTCCTTTCAGCCCGTATGGATGGGGATCAGTGGAGTGGACCGCCCGTCTGCCCAAAGGGACAAAAGTCCCCCTGCTAATTGCTGCCACATCAAATGAAGAGGGACATCCCAAAGAGGAGCCTCAGATTGATGGAGAGGGGGAGAGGGGGGGAAAGGACAGCAAGTTATTCTTAGCGCTGCTCACTCCTTCACTCACATTATCCTCTTTGTTCAACAACACAAACAATCTGGATTTTACTTTGAGTTGTGGTGATCACATTTTAATTTAAAATTATTATTAACTATGTCTTTCATTTAAAACATGCGCATAGATTTCCATGCACATCATTAAATATATTTATGGAAACAGATAGTTTGTTTTTAGCACATCCTCATCTAAATAACCTATTGTGTTATGATTTCATTGTCGTAATATTACAACTTAGTACAATTGCTTACATTCTGTAAATAAATTAGTTGTTATGATAGTGGCTCGTTGTTAATTTGGTATCATCTCAGATATGTTTAAAGAAACTGAGGGTTCGTCTAAATATCCCTCCTTTACGGTGGCCGGCGGTGCAAACGCAGAACAACGGCCCAAAACGCACATAAGAAGGAAACAGCTGCAAATAATGAAATGGAAAACAAACAAACCCCGAAAACAAACGCAACAAAAAAACGCTGCCAAAACCAAAACGATATGCAAAGTTCAAAGCACGTACAAATCCCAAAACACATTTTTTTTAAAACATTCCGGAAGTGCTCCAGGCCTCTAGGGGGCGCGCTACGTGGAACAGATTGATGTCTGACCAGACAGAGAGAGAACGAACGAGAGGAAAGAAAGTTAATTTAAATGGAGAAAGATATAAGAAGCTACGTTTTGTTTTTATACATAGAGCGTCATATTTATATAGCTAGCGTTAGCGTGCCTAACTACTACACCAGCTGAGGGAGGAGAGCTTCACGTTAAGAGAAGATACAGTGAGGGAAGAACATTGTAAAGAGATGACAGATCAAGTGCAGGCAAATAACACGGGCCATAGTGAGTACCGCGGAAAAAGGACATTTGAATTCTTAGCAGTTTGTTTATATGTATGTATTTGTGTATAGATGTTGCAAATATACAGAGCTTTAGCAATTACCTGTAACTATGGTCATGCTAATAAAGCTATTGAATTGAGAGAGATGTGACAACATGTGAAGAGGGACAAAGTAATGACAGGAGAGTAGTGTGCATTAGACATGCTCAAGAACAAATATAGAGACATTCAAGGAGAGAGAACACAGATTCAACGGTAAACATGATGTATCTTTCTATTTATTTAGCTAACCACTATTTAGACTATGTGTTTTTGATTGACTTGATTAAATGGATTCACTACATCAATGTATGTATTTTCAGGCCGCCATGTTGTGTCCTTTCTGTGGCTAGCATCTGGGGACAGTTCAAGTGTTCTAGGCTCCTGTGGCAAACATGTACAGTTTGTGGCAGAAGTTGAACACAACAGTAAGTTCACTTTTTTGTATTGTATCTGTTTCAAATGCAATAAATAAGGATTCAACACACTACTCTGTTTAGAATACTAATTGCAGATGCATACACTAGTTATCAGCATGAAGGACACATTTTTTCATTGTCTGTTTATGTGAAATATGTAGAAGCCATCATTACATTGTAGACCAACGCATGATTAAATACACAAAACAGCTTATATTATACATTCATAATTGTGTATTAGTTGTATCTTTATAGAGAACATTATATATTTAGAATCAGATTTTGAGACAGTGAGCGGCTGGGAAAGTCACACCACCATGGGGCATAAACAGTTGCTGACGTGATGTTTTCTTCATTCTCAGGCATTCCATAAGGAGGGTCAGGAACTCACGCTTGGGACCACCAGTGTCCCCTCCATCCTCAGTGTGTCCCCTCCATCCTCAGTGTGTCCCTCATCCTCAGTGTGTCCCTCATCATCAGTGAACTTAACTGACATCTCATGAGGGGTCGAATGAGGCCCGTTTGAAGCCGCGGTTGCTCCATCCCACACACACACACAGAGAGTTCTGCAACAATGTCCTCCGCAGTCAGGTATTCTGTGCTGGGAAAGACACACTGATGTATTGTAATATGAAATGATGAAGCTATAATAAGATTTACAGTATAGAATAGAACAATTAAGTGGTAAAAGTAACAATTAATACCTATCATCTGCAGTTTGCTCCATTTTGTCTTCTGGCTCAGACTGGCTATCAATAATGATAGGTGCATACACATTTGTGTAGTTGCTGCAGTGAGAAGACAGTTGAATCATTATTTTCAAATACATAATATATGCATGGCAGTCATATTTACAAAAGGATGTCGATCCTCTTCCTGTTTTGTTTTTAATACATTGGGTTCTAAACTGACAACAGCACTTTTGGCATACTCCTGCACAATCCTTGCAAACATTTGAAATGGATGCAACAAACAATATCTGATCTTTGAAAAATATTGGTGGGTGTTTTTTGTATCGTCTTCACTAAGATGTCATTTGGAAATGTATGAAAGTATAATTGTTCTGCTTCCTGGTAATGTTACCCACTGTGATTGGAGGCTATACAAACAAACACATGTAAAATAAAGATACACAGCAAACAACTGTGTCACGATGCAACTGGCAACATGGTTTACCTATAGAAGTGGTTCTGACCCGGGGCAGACTGGACCTCTTCCTGGAATGGGGTTGGTGCTCCATCCTAGTTTTACCCAGGAAACAAGTGCACACAAAGGTATTTATTGATTTCATGTTCACAAACTCAAACCTACATGGTATAATTACATTTGTAATTAGTCTTACCCGATCAGCGCTGGTTGTGGGTGCCTGAGAGGTCTGATAAAGGTAAACAGCAAATATATTCAAACTACTGTGCTGTTAAAACATTCTGCTTCTTGTGGCACAAAATAATATGTTGACAATGTTTTATTTTACCCTGGCAAACTGTTGTCCATTCGTGGAGTGCTCACTTCGTGAACATTTGGAATGTCTAACACCTGCATTCACACAAATGACTGACTGAAATAAAATTAATTCACTTTAATTAAGAATAAATCCAAACTGACCAAGGTACATTATATTGTTGACCGTCCTTTAACTCTCACATTAGGATTTACATTGGGGAACAATAAACCAACTCCTCTCTGCACCTAATATATCTATATGATGTCAAGAGTTACATTTAGGTGCACAGTGCTGTCTCTTGACTTGCAAACTCTTTCACCAAACAAGCTAACAAGCTGGGTAAATATGACGCTCTTTGTATCAAAACAAAATGTACCTTCTATATATCGACTTTCTCCACTTAAATGAACTTTCTTTCCTCCCGATTTCCATCACTCTTGTTCGTTCTCTCTATGTCTGGTCAGACATCAATCTGTTCCACATAGCGCGCCCCCTATAGGCCTGGAGCACTTCCGGAATGTTTTTTTGTTGTATGTGTTTTGGGATTTGTACGTGCTTTGGACTTTGCATATCGTTTTGGTTTTTGCAGCGTTTTTTTGTTGCGTTTGTTTTCAGGGTTTGTGTGTTGTATTTAGTTTGCATCATTTCTGTAAATTCAGCGTTTTTTGGTTGTATTTGTTTTCAGGGTTTGTTTGTTTTTCATTTCATTATTTGCAGCTGTTTCCTGCTTATGTATGCATTTTTGGCCGTTGTTCCGCGTTTGCACCTGTCGGCCACCGTACTCCTCAAATCCTCCAACCTTCGATCTTGACGTGCTATCTTAAAGGACATCCCAGTCCCTTCAATGAACCTGGTGATTTATTTAAATGCAAGTACTAATAATTTAAGGAAGACAAATGCAGTTCAATGTGAAAGGATATGGACAAGGGAATAGCAACAACAACAAACATATACATTTGAGACGTTGAAAGACAATACAGGCTTTTAAAAAATAGTTGACTAACAGGAATAAAAATGTATTTCAGTAAATATATGAAAAGTATTTTTTTAGAATCTATGTAGGACCATGAGGAAGAGACATGAGGGAAACAAAGATGGAAAATCATATATTTCGACGCAGAGCCTCATGCTTCTTCTTCTTTAACTTTTCAGGTTGATTCAAAATAAAAGTTCTTTGCTACTTTCATGGCAGGATGAGGGGCGGGACATGTCCTCTGAGCCCCACTCCAATGATCAATGCCTATGTACATACTGATTGTCTCAGGGTATTTTCAACAGTTATCATTTATTTTTCGCCTCTTTTAGCTCGTTCTCTTGGTTTTACATCACACCACGGTTCATTCTCCTAAAACCTCAAATGTGTCTTACACCTCTGTGCTGCATGGAATGTCCACACCTCTGACACTTTTGATTTTGTTTAAAAATGTTGTCAGTTTTTATAGGTCGTATTAAATCAGTGTAATAAGAGAATTATATCGGTTTTTTTAAACGTTTCCCATTAATTGGTATTATATCATTTAAGTATTTGATGGTGCTAATGTAATGTAATTATACCCCCACTCATCCAGTAAAGAATACATAAATCAGTAAGTGCATTGAAACAGCACTGAAGCTTCATTTCATCTTCTTTATTGTTGTTTATTTATGTTTCTTTTATAAGACACTAAGTCACATGTATGGTTTGCTCTGTGCTGTACACATGCAAATCTGTTTTACTTTTATGTGACAGCTGCTGGTTTTGACAAAGTGTTTTGAAGAACCAGAGGTAGTTCGGCCTTTGCAACACTTTCCGTTCATAGATTGTTTGTAACTTTTAGTAAAGGACCTCAAAACTTGTTTCTGCCATTGTGCTCTTACTGTATTGTAATAAACAGCAGCAGTGTTGAGAGGTGAAAGGTGTTGAATTATTTCAGACATATATGAATACTGAAAGAACTATCCCGTTATATCCGAAGATCGTGGGGTGGATGAACGGTTTAATGAAGTCCCAATTATAATAGCATGTCACTATGTGAATAGGATTGCAGTGGTCGGTCGATGTTTTCTTTTCTGTTTCATGTTTTTAGGAAAAGAGTTGGAAAGACATTCCCAGATTAGTTCTGCCCGTGCGACTGCCTGCTATGTTGTTGGAGGCAGACAGTAGCTGCCCTCTCATTGTCCCGCAGCATGAGGACGGTCAGTGGAGCAGGACCCTGCAACAAAAGGCCTGGAGCCAACACTGTGTGTGTTTGTGTGTTGGTGTATGTGTGTAGCTGTCACGGCCCAGTGATATAAGTGTCTTTGGGCCCCGGTCGGGTCCCTGCACCACACAGGGACAGAAAGAGAGAAAAAGCTGTCACTTCAGAGGGTCCTTTGAAAAGCTGCCTCGCTATAGAGCAAACAGGCCCTGAAAGTCACAGTCCATATAGTCCTCCCAGCAGTCAAATGGTCGCTGCTCAGCTTCTGCATCAAATTATTTGAAATGTATTCTTAACACCCCCCCCCACCTTAACTTCACCCCTCTCCCACCCAGCCCTTCCTTTTCTTAACTCATGCATTCCTGTTTTCCAATTGTGTTGTCTTTGTGTCAGAGCGAGGCTTTGTTGGGCCGTGAGGCTGTTGAGGCAGGCGGTGCCGTTTCAAAGTGTTTATTGATGTGAAGTCTCCACATGATGTTGGATCTTGTTGTCAGGGGTCACAACCTGTTAGTGTTCCGGTGTGGTCGAGGTAAGACTCACATCTTGATCCGTGCTGGCGGGTCACGCTCGGCCTTTGAAAGCAACAAGACAAACAGATCTTTTGGACGTGGGCTCATCCATCAAGCACACCTTCAGACTGTATCAGCCAAGCATGCCGCGCTGTCACTCACCGGTAAGTAAGCTGTTCGCGGCAGGAAGCGAGGTCATGAGAGGACCTGCTGTACATCAGCGGGTGAGAGCTGTGGTACCCCACCTGGGGGCCGGAACCCCTATCAATAAGAGAACCCAGGTAGGTCAAATGATGAACTGATATCATACTTTATTGTAGAATACTCTAGGTTGTAATCTATTAGGCAACACGATTCAGGTTAAACTGCTGATTTAACAGCTTATACCTCATAGGAAACCTATGAACAAGGGCTTCAAAGCAAAGAAGGTAAGGAACTACTTGTATATTTCCATTCACGATACATTTTGATTCTAAATAGCCTCTACTTGGATAGTGGAAGTTAATCAGCCCGGGTTGCTCATGTTAGCACTGATTCCCACAAGATGGCACCTTTTCTTCATGTTATTTCATCATGTGCTGAGTCATTGCAAAGATAGGCTTTAGGCTTTGTATGACTTTTGGGCCCAGTGTTGTCTAAGATGTCTTTTCACATGTATGTTGGTCATTCTGAGCTCTGTGCCTTCATAAAGCTTGAATCTTCCCGTGTACAACTCTCTCTGAACTCAATTTCCTTCTATAAAGTATTCACTTTGATCAGTCGACACTTATTTCCCATGGATCTTTTCTACACACTTCTGTCAAATCATGATGTCATCTTGACTTGACTGCAAGACATCACTGTTGACAAATGAGTCAAATCATGGTGAGCATTAATAGAACATGAACTCTGTTCACCTGCATGCAATGAGACACCTGCCATACCTCCACACTCTTCCTGTGTTCGATCTGAGAAGAAGCTCTTGACGTATATTATGAGGGTAAGAATCCTAAAATAGGGATGGCCCTAATACCACATCTGCTCTCGTTCAACTGACTGCACCCTCTAGTGGTTGTAGGAACTATGACTATGTCCAAAGGTAGAGGTCAGGTGAGGGGTGAGTGGAGGGTCAACAAATCATCAGATTTTAAAATCAGCTGCTGTTTGTTTCCTGTTCTTATTGGATAGGAAGGTGCAGACCTCTCCAACCGCTCCTCTAAATGTATGTGCTTACCTCTATTTCAGACATATCAGTTGTACTTAGGGTTAGGGTTTCTAGATGGACCCCAGCTATGATCTCGACCAAATGGACAAGAGATACCATTCCTAGTTCATATTTACATCCAAATCTACAGCTGTGGGCGTAGACATGGAGGAATGAATCACAAGGTGGCTAATGTGCAGGCGACACATGATATGACCAGCATTGGTGTCCAACTGGATATCAGGAACTTCTATGTCCTTATGTTCACTGAAATGTGTTTCACTGGAAAACTGCACACCACCGTCCAACCAGAAGAATCTTTTTTTATATATCTGACAGAACAAAAAACTGAAAAGGAAGCAGTCTTATGATGACTATACAGAAATTAAAAGAGGCTGAAGGGCTTGCTTTTCACTGAAGGTGTACCTGGCATGGTTTCATGTGACAAGTACAATTGATTGATTTATAATTGACCATGATCCCAGTGGTTTACTAACCGTAACTATGTTTTTATGCTGGCGACCATGGAGACAAGCTCACCATATCTCCACTAAGCTCTTATTTGAACCCAGACCACAATCTTTCCCTCGACTAAGAAGGTGGTTTGTTGTGCCCTTAGAGGGAACAGACACATGCTGTGTTGATAGAGGTGTCAGATCAGAACACATTTCTTGTGGTTAAAAAGGGTATGGACAAGTGATGTGTCCTTTTATCCTTTTCTCGATTGCAGACTGCTGATAAGGATGCTCAAGACCTAGGGCAATTTGCAGTCATATCAATCTGCAGAAATAAGGGCCGGTCATTTAAACGACAGCTGTGGCCAAAAAACACATTTGTTTCCCGTCTGATATTCTTTCAGAACACAAAATGGGAATATTCACTTTTATATATTGAGGGTGCAAAGACTTTGTATTGATGATGGCTAAACTGTGCTAAAAGAAGGTTAGTAAAGAAAAGAAAAAGTAAACAAGAATAAGAAAACAGTGCAAGAGAAGGTAAGAGGTTAAAGACACACATAGCTGGAAGACAGACAGGAAGTAAAGACTAACAGGAACACTGTATGG